GGTTACCCAGGAAATGATGGCTGATGCAGAATCAAAGTAACAAGGGTGTGGAGTAGACATAAGGTCTTTGGAGTTGAGTTGAGATGCAATGATTTCACGGCACTGACGTTGGATCTCTAAAATGGGAGTGTGAAGAATACTCTCAGGTTGCAGATGCAGGGGGAAAGTTTCAGAAATAAATACTTGGACTTAGTATTTAAAAAAAGAACTTTCTAGCAGTCAAAGCAATCAGGAGATAGAATATCTCATTTTCTTCATAAGATAGTGAACTACTGAGCTCAGGATAACTGGCCATGACAATTTGGTCAGGGTGTGAGGTATAGGTGATTCAAATGGCAGGCAAGTAATTGGACTCAATGACATTTTTTTCCCACAGAGATTTTTGCAGTCCACTGCTAGCTTGAGGTTCTGAGGTATGTGTGCAAACTGTCACTTGATGTTATAAATTGCCAATGACACATGAGTCAGATTTTCTTCTCCTTTTTCTTAATGTCTCATCGTCCCTTTACTAAGTAATACATGCTTCTTCAAAGAATTTGAGAATTGATAAAAAGTTTTAAGAAGTAAAAATTTCACTGTGGTTTTACCATCTGTATCATCAGGTTTCATAGCTACAAATACAAAACAGACTCAAGCTGGTTTAAGGAGAAAAGGAATTCACCTGAAAACATCAGGTAGAGCCAACTTTTCTATCAGGTGCCGTAGACAAAATTCCAATGACCTGCAATGCTTTTAGGGGCCCATGAAACTGTTTAAGTTTCTTTAAGATCTGAAGAAAACAAATTTGTTTGAAAACATTTTATTATATAGTATTATTATATCTAATACCAGTGCAGCTATAAACTCTAATTACACACACAAAAGTGCAAAGGATCCACTCAAGTCTTAATGAACAGAGGCTCAGGCATGGAGGCTGCCGGGTCAGGGGCTCCAAGCTTAACCACAGGCACCTGAGCACTGCTCCAGGCCAGACCCGGTTACTGACGCTGGCACAGACTGCCCTGCCCACACAGCCGACGAGGGCCTGATGGGATGGTGCATACTGTGCCCCGAATGCCCCCGGGAGCTAGCAAAGATGTCAGCTTTCAGAATGGATTGGCCAAGGAAGTCCGGGAAGCAGGTGCTTCTGAATGGAAGCCTTATACATTGTTACCTCCTCAGAAGAGTCTAGGTCATACACTTCATCCCAACATTCTCAACATGTATCCCTTTAGGGAATAACCGAGACTCTGAACATGTAATGAAGACAGAAGTGGGTTTCTGGCATCGGTCTGGTGATGTGTAAACCTGTAAGGTGGGATATTTTCCAAACATAGGGGAGATGTTTCAAGGGCTCTGAACAGGAAAACCCCACCACACAAAAACTACTGCCCACACACTGATGTATTAGCATGTACACGATCTGGAATGCACAGGTTTGATTTTGTTTAATAGTTCAAATACAAGCTATAGCTGTGATTACTGAATACTTATTATGTGATAGGCACTGTTAACACTATCTGAATAATCTAACTTGATTTTTAATGAAAAGCAGCATTTTGAGATAGGTAATATTGTTACAACTTTCCATTTTATAAATGAGGAAACTGAGGCTTAAGCAGACGAAGTAGCTTGTTCATGGAGTTATAGTTAAGAATTAGCAAAGATGAGTCTTACTGCTATACTACACCCATTATATATAAGAATACAACTTTAAGTCCTGCTTTTTACATTTCACATTTTGGGATAAGCCCTTTTATTATTATTATGATTATTATGATTATTATGATGATTATTATTTTTGTTAATCCTCACCCAAGGATATTTTTTTCCATTGATTTTTAAAGAGAGTGGAAGGGAGTGGGGAGAGAGAGAGAGAGAGAGAGAGAGAGAGAGAGGTGAGAGGGACAGTTTGATTGGTTGTACGTGCCCTTGACTGGGAATCAAACCTGCAACCCTCCTGTGTCCTGGCTGAAACTCTAACCACTGAGCCATGCCAGGGCAGTATTTTTGGAAGTAATTTTAAGGACTTCTTTGGACACTGTGGACCATATGAAACTATACTGACCTCTATACAGGCACACTGAAAGATAGATATATTACCCTTGCAGATATAATGGCACCTCAAAATATCAAAGAGATGTGCCCTCTGTTTTGGTGATGAGAACAAGAAACTGTTATCCATTGTGTGTAGAACAGAGTAGAGTCCTGAGCTTTGGATGGATTGAAAAAAGGATGAGAGAATGAATTATGGTTTTGTTCAAGTGTCAGAATAAAGCTACTACCTCAGACACCTAATGAGAATGACTAATTAGGTAAAAATATATTTTGCAAAGTCTACGTGAATAAAAGCTTGTTATAGCAAACCTATGACTCTTCTACGTAACTGGTATTTTATTTTTCTCTTTTGTGTTCAGAAATCAATAGAGAGTTTGCATTTTCTTTTTTTTTTTTTTTTTAATCCTCACCCGAGGACATTTTTCTATTTTTTGTTCAGATAGAGCGGGAGGGAGAGAGAGGAAGAGAGAGAGAGAAACATCGATGTGAAGGGACACATCGAGTGGCTGCCACCCGCACGACCAACCAGGGCCAGGGACCAATTGCAACCGAGGCCCGCGCCCCCAGCGGGAACCGAACCCGGGTCTCTCTGTACCGCAGGCCGATGCTCCAACTGCTGAGCCAAACCGGCCAGGGCTGCATTTTCTTTAGTAGTACCTGAGTGATTAGTTTCATGCTTTCTCCTATTATGAAACTGTTTCTTCTGACACTTATCTTAAAAGCAACTCTGGATCAATTAGACTAAAATATTAGAAATCTTAAGAAAAAATGTGATAAGCTGTTTTAGTTTCCCCAAATTAAATAAGACCTGGTGTGATTTAGAGCTGACTCTTTGCAGTTTGCATCCTTTTAGATCGAAAACCAGACGGAATGGTGAGGGATATAAGAGAACATGAGTGAGAAAATGTTAGCACATCTGTACTGGAGGAGTTTGCTTTCAATACAGTACAGCGGTTAAAGGACAACTCTAAACCAACAAGTTATTGTTCTCCTTTTGACAGATGAAATGAAAATTAGGTAATTGATAGTAAATAGACGTTTTGAAAATTATCATTCCTGATAATGAAATAGGAAAAAGAACCAGGTGGCACTTTTGATACACTTAGTGAATGACATATGATAGCAAGTATTTTAATAAACCACAGGGCATAGTGGTAAAATGCCCAAACTCTGCAACCAGATCATTAGGTTTCAATTTTGACACTGACACTAAAGTAGCTAGGGGATTCTGATTGAATTACCCCCCTTTCCTTGGCCAATTTCTCTGTCTATAAAATGTGGATAATAGCAGTACCTCCCTCAGAGGCTGGTTGTGCCCTGTTAGAGTAGGAGCTAGTTAGACATTAAGGAAGAAGGAGTGAACCAAACAAAACATCTGGCTCAGCCGGTAAATACCTTTGCATCACCGCGGGGAGCAACTGACATAGTCCCCAGCTCAGCAGGCCTGGGGAAGCAAGCAGAGGGAAATTCCTATTCATGACCACTCCTCCTTATACCCTGATTCTAACAAATTAACATGTGACTTTGTCCCTGCCTTTTAGGCAAACTTAGAGAATTGTGGGTAGGAGCCAAATTGGCAGGACATTGCCCAAAGACAAGAAGATGATAGGGGTTGGATAGTTTAAAAATAAGCCCATTCTGCCTGGCCGTTGTGGCTCAGTTGATGGAGCATCATCCCATGGACTGAGAGGTCCCAGTTCAATTCTCAGTCTGGGCACATGCCTGGATTTTGGGCTCAATCCCCAGTAGGGAGTGTGCAGGAGGCAGCTGATCGATGTTTCTCTCTCACATTGATGTTTCTCTCTCTCTCTCTTCTTTCCTCTCTCTCTAAAAATGCAATAGAAACATATTTATAAAATAAAAAGTAAATAAAAATAAGCCCATTCTTTCCAGGGATGGGATAGTTCAGAATAAACCCCCTCTTTTCCCAGCCCAAGGGAAAATTAAAGGAGCAAAACCCCAGGGATCTGTGCGGTTGCTGTTTGCACCTGCCCCCTGTCTCTCTCCGGAGTGTACTTTTCTTTAATAAATCTTGCCACTGCCTTGTGAACTCCTCCTGTGAGTATCCCTGAATTCTTTCCTTCAGCACCTCAAAGAAAACCTTCTCCATCTGGTGACACCCTGTGATCACCCTCAGGCTCCATGGTTTCTGGAAAAGCTCCTAAGAGTCAGAACAGCTGTTATGCTTACGGTCATGGTTTATTACAGCTGAAGGATACAGATTAAAATCAGCAAAGGGAAATGGCACATAAAGTAAGAGCCCAGCTGTCAACTCCCAGGCGTCCCCTCCCAGTGGCGTTACCTGGGGATGTGCTTAAATCCCCCAGTAACAATGTCTGAGAAGACGGGTGAGGTGTGGTGGATCAGGGCAGCTCACCTGAACTTTGGTCTCTAGAGTTTCACTGGTCGCTTTATTAGGGGTGGGTCACATAAGCCTCCAGCGCTAGATGGTTGAGCTCAGCTATTACTTCAGACTCCACTTCCCCAGGCATTTATCTGGTCAGAGTGGAACCGCAGAGGCCACGGCCCCAGGCACTCAAAAAATCTGCCAGGCAGACTATTCCAGAGGCTATCTTCCAGGAGCTGAAGACACGCCTTTCTTGGACTGTGCAGGGTATGCGCAGCTCAGGACTGCTGAGCTGACCGTGGCCTTCCCAGTGGTTATGAGGAATAAATGAGTTCATCCGTGGGACTTGGAATAGTGCCTGGCTCGTGTGAGCAAATAAGTAAGGGTCAGCTGCAGTTGCTTCTGCTGGAGCTCTGTGAACCGAAATAAGCAGGTTAATTTGGAACACATAGAAGAAGGAGCTCGGTTCCACGGGCCATATGCTGGTGATCCAAGTCCTCAAGTCTGGAACGATGGGCGTTCCAAGCGCGTGAAGTATTTTGGCAAGGGATGCATTAGTAAGGGAAGTTCCCAGTGAAACACCAATCCTAACATTGTGTCCTTCTGTCCTTTACAGAGTTCTAAACCAGCGAAGCCAAACCAAAGAGCAGAGCTGTTGGAGGAGTACAGCAAGAAAGCAGGTACAAGAGCGATATTCAGCAACTAACATGTAATATTCATTTAGATCGATGACTATTTCAGTCTTATAGCCCCTGTTATTTAAAAATATTTTACAAAAATACCAGTTTGTTGTCTTAGAATATGTGTGACTGTATGTTATAGGTGGCTGACCATATCCTAGAGGGGGATTGATTTCTATGAATACATCACCAATATGGAGGGTTTTCGTTTGGCCTACACATAAATGTGAATGAATTAACTAAGCAATTATTAGTATTTATTATTAAATCAGCATATATTTGTTAAAGGCCTGTTATCTGACAAACAGTTCTCTGTGAGGTATTTGGTGATTTTAAGAATTGACCAAAACTGATTGGTATTGTCCTTTCCTGTCCTCGTGGTGTTTACAGTAGCGTGGAGCCGATATGAAATCAAGAAGCACATATCCATATACGAGTGAAAACTGTGATTAATGCCATGAAGAGAAATAGCAGAGTTCTGTGGGAGAAAATATTGGGTGGCCAGGAAGGAATGTATCACGGTCTGGCTAAACACAGAGTATGTCTCTGGAAGATGACATCGAACTAAGAGTTGAAGTGTGAGGAAGAGAGTCCCAGGCAGATGGAACAGCAGTGAATAAAGAAAATGATTGAAAAAAAGGGCAAAGTGGTTGCAGCAAAGTCACAGAGGCAGAGAGAGAGACGTAAGAGGAAGCTGGGTGGAAAATAGGATGGAAAAGAATATGGGACTGGCCTAGTCCCCTGGGTCCTAAATCTCTGAATGCTAACACTCTCAGGAGCTTAAATGCACATTAACATATTATAGGTTCTGGGAAGTTCTAAAATAAATGCATATGCGATATAGGTATACATATGTGTATATGCGATATAGGTATACATATGTGTATATGTATGTGTGTGAACCATCGTTTTACTCCATAGCTCACAAAGCTATTTCCAGGTTAACATTAAGAAATATTTCAATAATTTTTTTCTTAGAAATATGCATTTTAAGAGGTTCCTTATTCTCCTGAGGCTGGCCTGCTTTTAAGCAATTGACTTATTTCATGGCTCTGCACATTAAATCATAATAGATAATTTTCTAGAATCTGGAGAATTCAGGCCAGGAAAAAAAAATCTGTTCTCTTCAGTGATTTAGCTTTTTCAGGCAGAAGACTTTTCTTGCCCTGAATTATATGGTTAATTGCTTCAAATTCTGATTATACTTTACATGTGAAAATAGAGCCTTAAGTACCGATTAGGAACACTGGAGTAAGAGCTTAGTAAGTAATTTTCAATATCAGTATTAGTAATAGTTGTTCTCTTAAATGAAAGAAAGGAAAACCACAAAAATGGCTGTTTGTATCTCAGCTGCTCTGAATCATTCCTTTCCACTGAAAATGCTTATTCTTCTTGATTTGTAAGATTCTCATAATTTTAAAAACTCTTAAAGTGAGAAAAATGCCTTGGGGTAGTGCCTACTGTAGCACCTATGAATGGTTTGATTTGATATAAAATTTGGAGATTTTGCATTTGCTCCAATAAAAGTTTCGAGGCCCAGAGTATGGACGTTAACCTGTGCTTATTAGAGAAGAAAGGTTCTTAGTATCTGTGATAGAACGGGCATTGCCTTTTCAAGATCAGTTCAGTGCCCTGGCCGGTTTGGCTCAGTGGTGAGAGCGTCGGCCTGCAGTCCAGAGAGATCCAGGTTCGGTTCCTGCTAAGGGCATGTACCTCGGTTGTAGTTTGTCCCCAGCCCTGGTTGGGTCATGTGGGTGGCAACCACTTGATGTGTCCCTTTCATGTCGATGTTTCTCTCTCTCTCTCTCTCCCTCCTACTCTATCTGAATAAAATATGGAAAAGTGTCCTCAGGTGAGGATAAAATATATATACATATATATACACACATATATACATATACATATATATATATATATATATGAACTAGGAAATTATGTATTAAAAACTTAAAAAAAAAAAAAGATCAGTTAAGTGTCTTCCAATTCAGTTAACTATGATTAAAACATAAGAAAAAAAATCATGAAAAATTCCCTAGGATTTCATGTTAGGAACAAAAGCCTATTTTCTCCCTAGAAAGACAAGAGACAGCTGTCCTCTAATTACTACTCTTGCCGTTTGCTTTCTGTTAGAGATGTGGCTCAAATTTGGAATGTAATTGGATATCTTAACTGAAAAGAGATTAAAAAAAAAAATGGAGAAGAAAGAAAAAATGACCAACATGGCAACATAGAAGTAGAGAGAAAAGTAGAAATGCTACTACTTTAGCCAAATTGGATAATCACCTGTATTAAAGTGAACTGTCCCCCGGGGAACATGTTATCTGGCATGAAGCTGAACTTCACCGTTTGTTTCCTCTTTCAGGAGGAATTTGCTCACCAAAAGACAAGTCTTTTCATTTCTATACATTGTAATTGCCAGGGATTATATTTTGCTCTGTGTTAAAACAATGGTTTTGCTTTTGTTTAAATTTTTTTTTTCTTTATCGATCTTTAGAGAGAGAGGAAGGGAGAGGGAGAGAGAGAAACATCGATGAGAGAGAGCATTGATTGGCTGCCTCCTGCATGCCCCCACTGGGGATCGGGCCCATAACCTGGGCATGTGCCCTGACTGGGAATCGAACCGGTGACCTCTTGGTGCATGGGTCCATGCTCAACCACTGAGCCACACCGGCTGGGCTGTGTTAAAACAGTGGTTTTGAAGTTTTGAGACCTGGGTTCCACCCCAGCCCCCTCACTTGTTCCCTGTCTGACTGTACACATTTTCTAACTATTCTCAATCTCCATGTACCCTCTGAAATAGAGTTTCCAAATCCCATTTGGCAACGTGGTTTCTTTCTTATTTGTCTCTTGACAGAACACACTGACTGGTATGTAGTAGCAGATCTAGATATATTAAGTTCTAGAAAGGAAGAAAAGAAGAAAGTAAAAAGGAAACAAAGCTAAATTTGAGGATATATAGTATAACATCGAGCGCAGGCTTCTGCAAACACCAAACATCCAGAGAGTGCTTACTGATTCTGCGCCCTGGAGGCAAAGCCTCAAATCCTGATGCTCAAGCTCCTTTTCGCTTCTAGATATTTTGGATTCTCTCTCCAGTTTGTCAACCCCGCTGAAGGGCAGCGTGACATACTAGTTCTGATTTACAGCACTTCAGGTGCTGTTGGCGTGATCGTCGCTCAGTTAATACTTGTTTAATTGAGTGAAGCTGTGAACGAATAGCGCCAGGAAGTTGGATCCCCCGGCGGTTCCGTTCCCTGGTTTACGAACTTCCTGTGTACCGTGCAGCAGGAATGATTTCACTTGGTGATAGTGCGCCCACTTCCTGCACTTCTCCATGCGCCCCCCGCCCCCCATCACATCAGTTCGCTTCCTGTTATTTGTGCCTCTTCTACATGGTGGCTTTTCGTCGCTGCTTGGGTTGCCCCATTTTCAGTGTTCTTCCCCCCCTGCTGGCTTTCATTCTTCCTTCTTTCCCCTCTCTTCTCCTCTCCCTTCCCTTAATCTGTCCCCGCATTTGTGGTGCACAGATGTCTTCAGGTCCAATTAGACAGCATCTCCTCCATGAAGCCTCAGGTCTCTCCTGAGATGGTTATTTTACGCCCTTTGATTTTTTTGGTTTCCTGTTTTGTTTTCAGGTACTATTCCTGTCCCCCATCTGTGACCCTGACACTGAGCCAGTGAAAGCCCAGCCACCTATGTTAGTAGTTCTTTCCTTCCATCCTCTATCGTCTGCTCCATCTGGTACCTTTACCAAAAAACCTACCGAGGGAGAGGACCTCCGGTGCAGTTTGATACTTGCCTCCACACTGGCGTCGGGGTTACTGGTGGCATGAATTCGGGCCATGAACACCAGTCTGCAGTCACATGGGTTGTCCGAGCCCGATCGGCTTTCTGAATGTCTCCCTAGTTCTAGTTGCTCTGTCCCTCGGAGTCAGGAGCTGGCTCTTCCCCAGCGGTCTAAGTGCCCGATTCCCAGGACACCTGCCTGCATCCCTTTTTCTGGGGCCTTACCTCACCTTGGGTACCTTCCCTGACTTGTGGTGTGGATACACGTGACGCTGGCACTGCCCCTCCACAGAGCCTGTCCCGTTGCTTCCCCATCCCCAGGCCCAAACCCAAGGGAGCCCCTATTTATTGATGCCCACTTGGGTCAAACTTGAGTTTATCAATTAAATCTTAGTAATTTGGACCCTGGCCAGGTGGCTCAGTTGGTTGGAGCGTCATCCTGTATACCAAAAGAGTTGCAGGTTTGGTTCCTGGTCAGGCACATGCCTTGGTTGCTGGTTCTATCCCCAGCTGGGAAGTGGGTTGGAGGCAAACCAATCAATGTTTGTCCCTCCCATCAATGTTTCTCTCTCTCTCCCTTCCTTTCTCTAAAACTCAATGGAAACATGTCCTTGGGTGAAGATTAAAAAAAAAATCTTAGTAATTTAGACTCTTTGCTCCTATATTTTTATTTCCCAATTTATTCTTCTTAGTCTTTTATGGAACAGATTTCTCTTTGCTTCCTTTTGTGTCCCCATTTCTCTTGATTGAGTCACATTAGTTATTATCAAAGCCATCTGATTGTGATTGTACCTCTTAGGCCATTTTCCCAGTAGTCTTGCCATGTCTAATAATAGTAAATATTATTAATATTAATAATGCTAGTTATATTTATTGGCAATGTGCTGTATCTTCTGATATTTTTGTTTTATGTTTACTGTTTAAAATCTACACAATGAATTTATACATTTTGATGTTTATAGTTCTAGAATTTTTTTTTTCAAATGTTTTTATTGATTTTTTTAGAGATAGAAGGGGAGAAAGACAGAAACATCAGCTGATTGGCTGCCTCCTGCACCCCCTCCCCCCCTACTAGGGATGGAGCCCGAAACCTGGGCATGTGCCCTGACCGGGAATTGAACTGGGAGCTCCCGGTCCAGGGGATGACACTCAATCCACTGAGCCACACTGGCCAGGCTAGAATTTCTGACACATGTAACCAGTCATATACTCAC